GCACCCATCAACGTGCCACCTACCTTGCCCTTGTTGTAGAGCGTCTGCAGGTGCCAGCGTGCAAAGGAGTCATAGTACGGGTTCATGTCCATGGTGATGAAGGAGTGGATGCACCCATGTGCACCCATGGTCTGATGTGCACCCATCTAGATGCCATGGGATGGGACACACCTTGCCCTTGTTGTACAGCGACTGCAGGTGCCAGCGAGCGAACGAGTCATAGTAGGGGTTCATGTCCGTGGTGATGAAGGAGCAGATGCACCCACCTATGTGCACCCATGCACATGCCACACAGACACACCTTGCCCTTGTTGTACAGCGACTGCAGGTGCCAGCGAGCGAACGAGTCATAGTAGGGGTTCATGTCCGTGGTGATGAAGGAGCAGATGCACCCACCTATGTGCACCCATGCACATGCCACACAGACACACCTTGCCCTTGTTGTACAGCGACTGCAGGTGCCAGCGAGCGAACGAGTCATAGTAGGGGTTCATGTCCGTGGTGATGAAGGAGCAGATGCACCCACCTATGTGCACCCATGCACATGCCACACAGACACACCTTGCCCTTGTTGTACAGCGACTGCAGGTGCCAGCGAGCGAACGAGTCATAGTAGGGGTTCATGTCCGTGGTGATGAAGGAGCAGATGCACCCACCTATGTGCACCCATGCACATGCCACACAGACACACCTTGCCCTTGTTGTACAGCGACTGCAGGTGCCAGCGAGCGAACGAGTCATAGTAGGGGTTCATGTCCGTGGTGATGAAGGAGCAGATGCACCCACCTATGTGCACCCATGCACATGCCACACAGACACACCTTGCCCTTGTTGTACAGCGACTGCAGGTGCCAGCGAGCGAACGAGTCATAGTAGGGGTTCATGTCCGTGGTGATGAAGGAGCAGATGCACCCACCTATGTGCACCCATGCACATGCCACACAGACACACCTTGCCCTTGTTGTACAGCGACTGCAGGTGCCAGCGAGCGAACGAGTCATAGTAGGGGTTCATGTCCGTGGTGATGAAGGAGCAGATGCACCCACCTATGTGCACCCATGCACATGCCACACAGACACACCTTGCCCTTGTTGTACAGCGACTGCAGGTGCCAGCGAGCGAACGAGTCATAGTAGGGGTTCATGTCCGTGGTGATGAAGGAGCAGATGCACCCACCTATGTGCACCCATGCACATGCCACACAGACACACCTTGCCCTTGTTGTACAGCGACTGCAGGTGCCAGCGAGCGAACGAGTCATAGTAGGGGTTCATGTCCGTGGTGATGAAGGAGCAGATGCACCCACCTATGTGCACCCATGCACATGCCACACAGACACACCTTGCCCTTGTTGTACAGCGACTGCAGGTGCCAGCGAGCGAACGAGTCATAGTAGGGGTTCATGTCCGTGGTGATGAAGGAACGGCGCCAGTCCACTCCCAGCCCAAACGCCTTGAGATCGTCCTGAGAGCATGCGCAATGGGGGAATATGGAAGGATAGAGGGTAAGGGGGCGAAACAAGTTCAAGGAATTCTGAGGGACCTCAGAATGGAAATGGGGGAAAGCTGGTGAGCGAGTGAGATTTTTGAGGCGCCTAAAAAATCGTCTCAGTTCACGCGGTTTTTATATGGGGAATGTTTACATTGCATGGAGGTGTGCACGTAACTTGCAAAAGTTACTCGTGTGAGCGAAGGTTCCAAGGCTTATCGATAGCCCTGACGAAGACACCACGGAAGGCTGACACTTGTAACCTTGGGTTTTTGCCCAGTGCTGTGTTGGCGAATGCCCATTGTTAGGCAATCTGGGTAGATGGGAACCTTGAATTCTGTTCGCGGTGTAGGTTGATTACTTAGCCTATGCCTAGCTGTTGGATCTCTTTGTGTTCAGAAGCACTGATGAAGGCTTGACGGGTTCTCCCGCCTTGCCGAAACATGTTTGCGACCTGTTCTGATTGAGTGAATTCAGTTCTTGCGATCAGAGTTTTCTTAGCCTAGGGAATTTTTACTCTTTCTCTTACTTGCTAAAGCGTTTCACTAGCACTGCTGCCCTTCCACCATGAGTGACAACGACCCGTGGAAATGGGGGAAAGCTGGTGAGCGAGTGAGCAGCAAGGTCTGATTCCGAGACGATTCAGAGCACAGCATACCAGAGAGCAGTAGCAGCGGCGGCGGCATCGGCATCAGCAGCAGCAGCACATACATAGTACATACCACAGCGATAGGGGGAAAGTAGGTGAGCCAGTGTGCAGGGTCTTTGAAGGGCTTGATCTCCTCGTCTGACATGCCCATAGACCGCATGATCTCCCACTGCGGTGAGAAGGGGTGGGATGGGGTGAAATAGGGTGGAAATGGGTGTGAAGGGGTGGAAAGGGGTAAGAACGGGTGAGAAGGTGTGAGAAAGGATGAGTACATGTGAGGAAAAAGAGGTGCAATGGGGGGTGAGAATAGTTGTAGAGGGGTGGGAATAGTTGTAAAAGGGTGAGAATTGTAAAAGGGTGAAATGGGGTGAGAAAGGTTGAAGCGGGATCAGAAACGGTGAGAGAAGAGAACAGGGCATGCGCATTGAGAGGTTGAGATGCATATGTGCAGACATGCCTGGATGGTCCATGGACCATGGGTATGTATGACCAACATGACGTCACGTCATGTCACATGATGCCACATACCCCTACCAACTGTGCCACATCCCCCAACCAGCTCCGCCACCCCTACTGCCACCTCCCTTACCTGGTACTTGGCCGTCCCTGTCTTGGCAGCCGCCTTGGACTGTCAGGAAATTAGGTGGAGGGGGCAGGAAGGGGCGAGAGAGAGATGAGAGGGAGGGAGAAAGGGGTGAAAAACTAGGGGCAGGGATGCTGATGGGATGCTGACAAACGCGAGAGCTGAAGAAAAAGTTGTGAGCTCCAGTCCCAGACCTACACTATGACACCATCACCACCGCCATCCCCTCATTTAACCCCTCAGCTGAAATTCCAAAATCATCATCCCCACCTATCCACGCCGGGAAGAAATCCTCACCTTCTTCCCCTTGAACTGCCCAGGGGCCTTCTGCTCCTCTCCCTTAGCCCCGTCCGCGGCCGCCCCAGCCCCCCCCTCTGCAGCAGCACTCCCCTCCGCAATAGAGAGGGCCTCCAGAGCTGCCGACTCCTCCTCGCTGGGGAACTGGGGCGGGTAGCCATACGTGTCCATCTCACGCGCTAGCTTGTCCGCACACGCCTGGTGGTGAGGCGGGAATGGGAAGGACGGGAGGGAGGGGTGGGGGGACTATGGGAATGAGGTGCCTCCAGAGCTGCCGTTTCCTCCTCGCTGGGGAACTGGGGCGGATAGCCGTATGTGTCCATCTCACGCACTAGCTTGTCAGCACACGCCTGGTGAGGGGGGAAGGGGAGGGGCGAAAGGGATGGGGTCAGACGCGCTGCCATCGGCAATGGAGAGCGCCTCCAGAGCTGCCGTTTCCTCCTCGCTGGGGAACTGGGGCGGGTAGCCGTACGTGTCCATCTCGCGGGCTAGCTTGTCCGCACACGCCTGGTGAGGGGGGAAGGGGATGAACGGGAGGGAGATGGGGTGGGGGGGTTATAAGAATGAGGTGCCTCCAGAGCCGCCGTTTCCTCCTCGCTGGGGAACTGGGGTGGGTACGTGTCCATCTCACGTGCTAGCTTGTCAGCACACGCCTGGAAGGAAGTGGTGGGGAGGAAAAGGACGAAAAGGTAGTATGGGGATGGAAACAAAACACCCCCCTTACTGGGGAACTGGGGCGGGTACCCCGTATGTGTCCACACGCACCTGGTGTGGGGGCGGAGGGAAGGGAGGGTGGTTTACAGGAAATTCCTATGCACTGGAACCCGAAGGGGAGGGGAGGAGCACGATACATGCATTGATTTGTTTACAGAACAAAAAGACTTATCCATCATGCAGCACGCACGCACCTTGATGGGCATGCCAGTGCAGTGGAAGCCGAAGGGGAACAACACATTAGCTCCCCTCAGCCGGTGGTACGACGCTGCGAACTCCACCTGCACTAGGTGCGACAGGACAGAGAAAAAGGTGCAACGGGTGCAGGATGGGGAGAAGGGGGTTCGAGTGTGTGAGTAGGGCGATTGTAAGCTGCTGCTGCTGCTGCTTTTGGAAAACGCGTAGTTCAAATGCGGTGCACAGCATGGAACGGCACAGCACAGCACAGCACAGCACAGCACAGCACAGCATGTCAAAAAATTCTCACCAGGGAGAGAATGAACGCATGGCCCAAATGCAGCAGGCCGTAGGAATAGGAGGGAAAGGCGCTTGTAAATCGACCACAGACGAGGCATGTGTTGTGAAGAGCAGTTTTTTCTCACCTTGGAGAGAGTGAACGCGTGGCCCAAATGCAGCAGACCGTTCATGTACGGATAGGGGAAGTTGCCAAAAAAGCGGTCATCACGAGGGCCAGACCCCAAGGGGGCTGTGTAACACAGGCCTCGGTGACTCATTCTCACCTTGGAGAGAGTGAACGCGTGACCCAAATGCAACAGGCCGTTCATGTAGGGATAGGGGGGAAAAGGCGCGTGTAAATCGACCACAGACGAGGCATGCATTGTGAAGAGCAGTTTTTCTCATGTAGGGGTAGAAGTAGTTGCCAAAGAAGCGGTCATCGCGAGGGCCAGAACCCAGGAGGCTGTGTAACACAGGCCTCAGTGACTCGTTCTCACCTTGGAGAGAGTGAAAGCGTGGCCCAGGTGCAGCAGCCCGTTCATGGAGGGATAGGGGAAGGGAAGTTGCCAAAGAAGCGGTCATCGCGAGGGCCGGACCCAGCAGCTGCGCCCTCCTTGGCCTCAGTGACGCGGTCCCACCCCAGGAGGCTGTGTAGCACAGGCCTCAGTGACTCAGTCTCACCTTAGAAAGAGTGAACGCGTGACCCAAATGCAGCAGCCCGTTCATGTAGGGGTAGGGGAAGTTGCCAAAGAAGCGGTCATCACGAGGGCCAGACCCAGCAGCGGCTCCCTCCTTGGCCGCGGCCTCAAAGACCTTCTCCTCCTCCCACTGCTTCTGCACGGCCGCCTGAATCTGCAGCAGCAGATCCCGCCGCACGTGGCTCTTCGCGCCCTCCTGAGGCTGAGCCTGTGAAGGGCGAGAGGGGAGACGAGATGCAGAAGAGGAAGTGGGGGATGGTCGGGAGACGCGTTTACGGCGAATTCGTGCTGCCTGACGATGAACCTTAGAAAGTACGGTACGGGGTTGAAGTATCAAACGGGAAAGGCCTCATAGGATCAGAATGGGAGATGCCAAGACGCATCAACAAGGAAAGAATGTCGTAAGCTTATCTAAGGCTGAGCAAGTGATCAGGTGATCGGCGCTGGCTGCTTCACCGAATCTGGTGAGCGTATCTAAGAGCAATCGGGTAATGGAGTGATCGTGTGAAAGGCGTTGGCTTGTCTTACGAAACGACTTTGCCGTCCCTGTGAATATCGAATTCTTGCATTCTTAGATTCTCTCATCCCTTCTGCAAGCTAGAATTGACGAACTGCAAGTAAGTGGATTAAAAAAACCCTGCTGGATTTTCGCACGTACGAGACTGAGATGTCGTCCCTAGAAAGAAGTTACTTTAGAGACGAGTCGAAGCTTTTTAAACTCGAAATCCATGCTAGTTCTTGCAACTACAAAGAATCCGAATGCTGTTCTAAAGAATATAATACTACTACCCCGACTCTGCATAGGACTCCCGAACTTGACTTGCCATTGCGAAGAGCCTATTCCATCTAAACATGCCGACATGCGATTCGGAAACAAGCATTACATGCGCACGGATCAGGCATGGTGGAGAGGAGCCAATGCAACTACGCGTGCCAGATTCGTGCGCATGGCAGGTTGACTCTAGCCTGACAGGATATTCAAGTTGATATCGATCTGGACCGTCGGAACGGTAACGTTGATCACCCACCTCACTGGAAGCTTTCGCGGTGGCTGGCGGAGCCATTGCAACTACCGCCGAAGAAGGAAGCAATGCTAGTCGCTAGAGGAGTAAGAAAGAGGACTTGTTCGCGGTGCCGCCCTCGCAGGTGTCAGGAAAAGAAGGACCAGAAAGTCAGAAAATCGTGATATCAGGGAGAGGTGACGTGATCACCACAACCTGTGCCTTGGGATTGCCGATCAGGCGAAGCAGAGTAAAACCCAAACCCGACCATAACTCGCATACTACAGTGCACGGAAAAGTAAACCTGCAGAAACTAAGTACCTTACGAGCTACAAAATGGAGGCAGGAAGTAAATGGGGAAAATGAGAACCACTCTTAACTACCCCACCATGCTAATGTGGATGTATAAGGTTAGCAGGTAGTGCACCCTACAGAACACGCTGCTCTGTATTCTTCTTGTAATGCTGCCAAATCCTACCCAACGCAACAATACGATTCCTAATGGCAACGCTAATTAGAAACAAGAAAGATCCGGTATGACATTGCAACACTAATGACATTGCTACAGCTCACAATAATCATGACTTCTGTTCTGCACAATTCACCACCACATGTTCCAACCTGGCACCTGATGATGTACAATTAAAAAGAGTCTCGTACAAAAGCAACCTAGCCTAACACCAAACAAGAGATTAAGCAATCAAGAATCAAATCAAAGCAATTCTGCAACCAAACAAGTCAACCCATTAACCAGGTCCAACCTTAAGCTGAGCTGCCCAGAAAACAAAACAACACGTGCTGGGGTTACGCAGCTTTCTCATGCTACTGCCTGCCTCTCGTTACCCACAAATCAAATGCATCCATGCCTCTCCCAACACCCACACCCACCTGCTCTGCGCCCTTTCTCTCCTGCTACTCTGCGCCACAACCCTTCATACCCCCATGCAGCAACCATTGCTATCCAGAGTAGCCATGCTGATGTGATATCAACCCCCCCGGCGAATTAAGACTTGCCTGGTTGCCAGATATCACACTACCCTGCTGGTTACCACCCAAACCATCTCCTCCCGAACCTCCAGCAGAGGCTCGGGTGAGCCTCGGCGGCTGGCGAGGCCGCCTCTTGTTCCCACCCGGGCCAGCAGGCCTGCCTTGGTAGTAGCCCATGCCTTGGTCCGAGCCTCCGCCAAACCTATTTCCATACCGCTGTGAGGCTGCCACTCCTCCTGCCATACCTCCTGCCATTCCTACAGGTACAGGCCCAAGCTGTGAAAGGTAGACATTGGGAAGGGAAACGGGCAAACCACCCGCTCCTACCATCCCCACTCCTGCTGGCTGTGCCATTGTCTGTGCTGCTGCTCCTGCCATGCTCCCTTGCACCACCACCCCAGTCTGATGCTGCCCTGGCACCCCAAGCACAGGCCCACGGTAAGGGATCGGCTGCAGGGAAGGAGCGGCATGCTGAGCATGTGTGTGCGGGCGGCGAGAGGAGAGGGACTGGGCGCTTGAGTGCGGCACAGAGGATGAAGTCAAGCTGGCATTGCCGGAAATCAAGGTGGTGTCCCCATCACCCAGAGTTTCTGGGAACCGATGAACGTCGATCGCGCTGGAGGCGGTAATGCCAGAAGTTTTAGAAGCAGCCGCAGCCGCAGCATCGGCAGTGGCAGTAGTAGCAGAGCTGTCACCTGCCGTTGCTGCAACAGCAGCATCTGTTTTGACAGCACCAACGCCGACAGCAGCATCTGTTTTGACAGCACCAACGCCGACAGCAGCAGCGGCTGTTGCAGAAGCTTCCCTGGTACCAGCAGACACTCCAAGAATCTGCTCCCGACCTTCCTTCCCACTTCCTTCTACCCAGCTTCCTCCCCCTTCTTTCTCACCTGCACCCCTGCTACCAACCTCCAAGCCTAGATTCAAGGCTTGGGAGCATGCCATACCACCGGCTGCTTCGGCATGTGACGTAGCCGAAGCTGGGGCGCTGGTATGGGAAAGCAGGGGCGGCGCTGCTGCGAGCGACTGTTGATTGGGTTGGGGTTGAAGGTGTTGGGAGGAGAAAAGAGCAGGAGGAGGGAACGGAAGGAGGGAGGGACCCATGGGGGGGGGAGGTAGTGCAGGGCCCACAGGGGGAGGTGGAAACTGGGGAAGGTGTGGCCAGAGGTAAGGCATGGACTGCTGCTGTAAGGGATGCTGTTGTGACACCTGCAGGGAAGTGGGGGCGTGGAGAGGAATGAGGAAAGATTGTGTAACATCAACGGTAAGAGGCCAACCAGGTGAAGCAGGAAAAACTACATTTTCTAAAATCTGCATAAGAAGAGGCAAAGGTGGGTGAAGCAGGGAATGCTACCTTCAGAAAATCTAAAAACGGAAAAGACAAAGGCAGGTGAACAGGGAGCGCTACCTGTGAATGAGGTGGCTGCTGACTGGGTGCCATCACTGCCGAACCATCATGCACGCTCTGCTGCTGCTGCTGCTGCTGCTGCTGCTGCTGGGTTTGTACGTTTTGCTGCTGCTGCATGTAGCGGTGCTGCTGCTGCCACTGCTGCTGACTCTGCTGCTGCTGGAACCGCGGAGGAGGAACGACACCACCACGAGCGCGACCCATGCTGCCAGGCACTTCGAATCGCGAGTGCGACGCGTTCCGTAATTCGTCAGACTGTGACTGAGACTGACTGCCTGACTGATTAACTGACTGGTTTCCCCTTTCGCCCACCCCTCCCTGCTGCTGCTTGTGCCGCTGCTTCTGCCTCTGCCTGCCTTTCTGGCTGTTTCCCTCCTCTTTCTTCTGCGTTAGTTGCTGCTGCTGCTGCTGCTGCTGATGATGCCCCATGTACGTTTGGGTGCTTGCACTCACATTATATACCCCTTGGCCATACTGTGACACAGGAAAACCCATACCCGCCTGCCCCACTCCTACCTGCCCCAATCCTTCCTGCCCCGTTCCTCCAACCTGCCCGAAATTTGACAGGGAAATGCCTGCTTGCATGGGCTGACCCACCTGCCCGAACTGCCCATTGGGAAAAGGAGGCCCAGGAAAGAGCATCATGGGAGGACCCGAGTGCATGGCATGGTTTGGCGTGGCATGAGTAGGGTGCATGGCATGGTTTGGCATGGCGTGACCAGACATGCCATGGGCCATATGTGGAAGAGCATGCGGCTGGGGCATGGGGAAATGAGACATGGGCTGATGGGGCAGCATCCCCTGATGCATCATCATACCCTGAGGGTTCATCATACCTTGGGGGTTCATCATACCTTGGGGGTTCATCATACCTTGGGGGTTCATCATACCTTGGGGGTTCATCATACCTTGGGGGTTCATCATACCTTGGGGGTTCATCATACCTTGATTCGTTACCATGGCCTGATGGGGTACCATGCCTGGGAACATATGCATGGGGTGGAAGCTTGGGGCGGCAGAAGCGGGCAGAGCTCCTGGTGCTATTGGAAAGGGGGGCATGGCATTAGTTGGAGTGAAACCATCACCTGGGGCTGATACCAACTGCTGCCCCTCCTGCTGCTGCTGCTGCTGCCTTTCCTCCTGCTGCTGCTTCTGCGGCTGCTCCTGCTGCTGTCCCTGCTCCTGCTGCTGCCCCTGCTCCTGCTGCTGTTGCAGCACTGGCTGATGATGCTGCTGATGCTGGTTCAGCTGTAGCAGCACCACACCTACTTCACCCCCTGCCTTGTGCTGCTCCTCGTCTTTCTTGTGCTGCTGCTCTTGTTGCCCCTTCTCTTGCTGCTGCTGCTGCACCTGCTTCTGTTGTTCCTGTTGCTGCAGCGGCTGCTGCTGTTGCTGCTGTTCTGTCTGTGGCTGCTGTTCCTCCAACCCCTGTCCTTCACGTTCCTGCTGCAGCAGCTTCTCTGCTTGCTCCTGCACCTGCTGCTGAGATGGCTGCTGCTGTGTCGGCTGCTGCTGAGCTGGCTGCTGCTGAGCTGGCGGCTGATCACAGCTCGCATCAGGGTCTCCAGCCACACGCCACTCCTGACGCTGCTTCCCTCCCCTGTCACCCCTACCTCCCCTGCTGCCCCTCTGCCGGCCCTGCTTCTGCTGCCCCTTCCTCTGCGGCTGCTCTCCTTGCTCTCCCCCTCCCTGCTCTCCCTGCTCCTGTTGCTGCGGCTGCTGCAGCTGCTGCTGCTGTTTCTGCTGCTCCTGACTATTCTGTTGCTGCTTCTGGTGCGTCTGCTGGAGTTGCACTGGAGCAACCGCCGAAGCAACCACCACCGAAGCAGCCGCCGAAGCAACCACCACCGAAGCAACCACTGGAGCAGCCATGGGAGGAGTGACAAGTATCCTGGGAGGAGGTGCCACAGCTGGCACAGCATGCGTGACAGGGTTGCCTCTTGATGCAGTTGCAGAAAGCAGCGCAGAAGTGGGTTTCACAGACTCAGGCGCAGAAAGAGGAATCTGCTTGAAAAAAAAACAAAAAAAAACAAAAAAAAACATGCTTAGGCCAAGGGGACAGGAGAGGAACGCATGTTTCAGTCAAGGGGACAGGAAACTGGTCTTGCAAAGATGAACAGGCCTGAATATGAAGTCTAATAAGCTTACCTGCTGCTCACCACCAACAGCAGCAATAGAAACCGTGACTGCAGCTTCAGCAGAAGCTGTAGCAGCCGTTGTAGCAGGGAGGGTCACACCAACGCCAGTGGTGTTTGGATTGACTGAGCGTTTGCGCTTTTGCTGCTGCTGCTGCTGCTGCTGTTCCTTCATCTGCAAAAAATACAATTTCATTCATATATGAAGATGACAGGTAGAAACAGGAACAGAGATTTACATAACAGACAAAGGAGGGGGGGGGGGGGGGGGTGGGAGAAAACAAAGCCAAAAAGGTTTGGAGGCAAAACCATTACTGGTAACGTTAGGGTAACTGAAACTGAAAGTGCAGATATGAAACTGAAAGTGCAGCACAAACTATTGCACTCACACGTTGCTCCCGCCTTCGAGTCTTCACTTCCCGCTCTCGCTCCCTCTCCTTCTCCCTCTCCTTCTCCCTCTCCCTTTCCTTCTCCTTCTCCTTCTCCCTCGCCCTCTCCCTCTCCTCTCGCTCCCTCTCCCTCTGCTCCCTCTCCCGCTGCTCCCTCCGTCCCCGTTTCGACTGCACAGTAACAAACCCCCCATCATCCTCCCCCTCTCCATGCTCCACCCCTATTTGTTCAAAAACCTTCACTATCCCTCCTCCCAAAGGCACCTCTGAATCCCCTAAACTCTCCAGCCTCGAAACTAGCCAGTCAAGCTTCGTATGCCCACGCCCCCCCTCTCTTCTCTCCTCCTTGCTTCCACTGCTCTTGCTGTCGCCAGCACCAGCGCCAGATTCAGGGGTCTCTGTCCTCACGCCTGCCCGCTGCTTGCTGCCCTGCTGCCCAGTCAACCCTTCTCCTGCCCCTTCCCTGCCCACACCCGAATTCTTCCCCTTCCTCTCTCTGCCCCTAGACCCTGCGCGTGGTTCCACTAGGGAACCTCCTGCTGTAGCAGCTGGAGCAGAACCACCCGCTGCAGCCTTCTTAGACTCGTCTTTCACTGCTGCAGCTGCTGTGTCTTCTTCTCCTGCTACTGCTGCTACAGTTGCTGAGGCGGACACATCCACACCCAGACCAGCAGCAGCAGCAGGTGAAGCACCAGAATCATCAGCTGTTGCTGCACTGGAGGCTGCCTGTGACTTAGCTCCCACCAACGGCCCTTCGGTTTCTTCTGGTCCTTCTGATCCGTCTGCTGCCCGCACTGATGCATTACCTGGCCCTTGGGATACAGCTTCCGATGGTGCTTCAGAGGGGGTTTTCCCTGCTGGAGGCGAGGTGGAAGAAGGGGAGGAGGCGGAGGAAGAGGCGCCAGAGAGGAACCCTAAGGAGGAGAGGAAGGCGGTTGGGAACATGGAGAAAGGCCGACGGATGCTCACTCGCTTCGACTGCTGCTGCTGCTGCTGCTGCTGCTTTTCTCTCTCACGAGCATTGGGCTGTGAGTGCTGACTCCCATCCCCACTTGCACTACCTTGTGGAACTTTCCCCTCTGAACCAGCCTGCAACTCTGCACTTCCCTTCCCCTCCCCCTCCCCCCTCCCCCTCCCCCTCCCTCGCCCCATCCGCCGCCCCTTTTACCTCCTTGCCTTCCTGTTTCAGCTCCTTCTCCTGCTGCCCCCTCTCTTCTGTCCTCCCGGCCTCATGCTCCCCACTCTCCTCCTCCCCTTCAGACCCCTCCGCACTCTCATACGCCCCTTCCACCTCAGACACGCCACTGTCTGAACCACCTGAAAAAACACCTGAAGAAGCACCTGAAGCCACGTCACTCTCAGCACCTGCCAGAGGCTTTGTTCCCCCAGCAGACCCAGCAGACCGCCCAGGTGAGGACCCAGGCTGCAGCAACCCACTTACACCGTCAGCGGCATCAGCTTCAGCTTTAGCAACGGTTTCAGCTGCACTTTTCACTTCAGTTTCTGCCACAGTTTCAGCTGAGGTTTCAGCTACAGTTTCAGTTACAATCTCAACAACAGTTTTGGCTACAGTTTCAGCTACAGCTGCCTGCTTCACCTGAGCTTCATCACAGGCCCCACCCACTCCCTTACTATCACCCTGCAGTACGGTCACAACCTGGACTCTCACACCCACCTCCTCTCTCTTCCCCCCACTCTCCCCTCCCTTCCCTCCTCTCTCCCCCACCTGCCTTCCCACCACATCTCCCCCTCTCCCCCTTCCGCCACCCCTCCTCCTATCCCCGCCTCCTCCCCTCCCTCCAATCCTCGTTCTCACCACCACACCATCACTCCCTCTAATCTCAGAATAGCCTGCTCCTTGCACCTCCAGATACTGTCCAGCTCTCCCCTCCTGAACCCTCACGCCCTGAGCAACGAACCAAGCAGGAGTCATGCCTGCTACCGAACCAGCCGCCGGAGCTACAGCCGAACCTGTTACCGGACCATTTACCGCACCAACAGCCGAGGCTGCAAGTCCAGGTCGAGCAGTCAATCCAGGCACCAAAGGGGTGGTGGTAAACCCATCCCTGCCTTTTCCACGGCCATGTGATGGGGTTGCTTGCACCTGTCCTTGTCCCTGCCCTTGTGCCTGCCCAACCTGCCCCCCTGCATGACCACCCCTCACTCCCCTTCCTCCCCTTGCCCCCCTACTACTGCTAACCCCTACAGCTGGCCCCGCCATTGCTGCTGCCGCAGCTGCAGCTGCTGCTGCTGGTTGTGTTGCTGCCGCTGCTGCTATCCCCGAAACGTCTCCTTCTGCCCCTCCCTCAATCCTACCTCCCTCTAATTCTCCCTGCCTCAGTTGCTCCCTCCCCTTCCTCTGAACCCCCCCTCCCCGCCCCACAGCTTGCCTGCGATCCGCCACACTCACACCTGCACTAGCACCGTCCCTCTGCTCTACACCTACCCCCCCTCCCACCGCCACTGCTCCTGCTGCTCCCGGCCCTGTTCCTGCTCCTGCTGCTCCTGTCAACCCCACTGCTACTGCCGATCCTGCTGCTCCTGTCAACCCCGCTGCTACTGCCGATCCTGCTGCTCCTGTCAACCCCGCTGCTACTGCGGATCCTGCTGCTCCTGTCAACCCCGCTGCTACTGCGGATCCTGCTGCTCCTGTCAACCCCGCTGCTACTGCCGATCCTGCTGCTGCTGGCAGTGAAGCTGCTGCTGCCCCGCCACTGACAGGAGCAGCCGCTGAAACTGGAAGGGGCAGCAACGGCTCTAGTGCCACCACCCTTTGCACAGGTACCTCCTTCCTCGAAGAAGCTACCTGATCAGCTGCTCCCTCCCGCTTCTGCTGCTGCTGTTGCAGCTGGTTTAGCGGTGGCAGCTGCTGCTGCTGCTTTGGTGGTTGCTGCTGCTGGTTCAGAGGCGGATGCTGCGGCATGTCTCTTTGTGTGCTTATCCCTGAAATATCAGACCCAATGGGTTGACCACCAGCATGCAGAGGAGGTGACACTGACGCCGGCACCCCAATCTGCCCAAACTGAAACATCGGCACAAGGCACGCTCCAGAAATTTCATTCTGCCCGGGCAGCTGGGCAGACCCCCCAACAGTGAGAGGCACGGAACCGATCTGGATGACGAACGGGGCTCCAGACGGGCGCACTAGGGACGAGAGGAACGGTTTGGTAGCAGCACTAACCGCAGATGCAGTGGCAGGTGCAGCCGTTGTAGCAGATGCAGCAGCAGGGGCAGCCAGTGTCGCAGATGCAGCAGCAGGGGCAGTCCTGCTCCCCTTTTCTTCAACCCCACTTCCCCTCTCTCCACCTCTCACTGAAAGCTCCTTCCCCTCTGCCTCCACCTCTCCTTCATCACCCACCACTCCCTCTCTCTCAACAGAATCCGACCCTTCGTTCTCCCCCACCCTCTCTTTAGCTTCTCTACCCATCTCCCCCATCCCCTCCCGCTCATGATCACCCATTCCCACCATCCCCTCCTCTCTATCAGACATACCCTCGTCTCGATCAGACAGCAGCGCCCCCAACTCATTCACCACATCGGCAGGAAGACTTTCAGATTCACTCATTTCCGAATCATGCTCGACGCCCATCCCGCCCATCACTCCCCTCTCCCTCCCCTCTGCCCGCCCTTCTCCCTCACCCTTCCCCACCTGCAACCCTAAATTGCATATCTGCTGCCCCATCTCTCCTCTCCTCCCATGCCCATCCCCCCCTCCTACTCCATTCAGTTGATTCGCCCAATTTCGCCCGTCTGCCCGTCCCGATCCACCAGAAATTTCCTCCTGCCCGAAACCAGCCCGCCCTTGCCACTGCTCTGCTCCGGGCTGCCGAGCCTGCCCGAGAAACATACCTGGAGCAGGTTCAGGTCCGATCCGTCTCCATTCCAGATACTGCCCGGACCCAGACTCTCCCCATCGACTGTCTCTCCCCACCACCCCACCACCATTTCCCATCTCTGCGAACTGTTTCTGTCCCTGACTGCCCACCTCTTTCCCACTGCCCGCCTCTCTCCCACCACCAATTTCTCTCCCTCCAAACTCTTCCTTTCTTTGGTGCCCCGCCCTGCCCGCTGCCACACCACCACTTTCCCTTCCTCCTGCTGCTGCTCCTCTTCCTCCTGCTCCACCCCCTGCTCCTCCTCCGGCTGAAACTGAGTTCACAGTACCCACTGAACTTGCCCCCACTTGCCCCACTGCTCCCACTGCTGGGGTATTGTCAGAAAACGAGGCAAAGCCGCGGCCAGCATTCCCATGGGCGAGAAACCCAGGAGCAAGCCCAGGCGGCCGGTGCAGCAACGGTGGCTGCTGCTGCTGCTGTTGCTGCTGCTGCTGCTGCTGCTGCTGTTGCTGTTGTTGCTGCTGCTGCCCCGGGAAAGGCTGGTGGAAGGGTTGGGGGTGCACATGCTGCTGCTGCATTGCAGGAAAGTGAGGATAAGGTGGGGCGAACTGATGGGAGCGCAAGATAGGGCCTGGGCCAGGAAATCCGTACGCAGGAAACGAAATCCCCTGCACCTGCTGCTGCTGCTGCTGCTGCTGCTGCTGCTGCTGCTGCTGCTGCTGCTGCTGCTGCTGCTGCTGCTGCTGCTGCTGCTGCTGCTGCTGCTGCTGCTGCTGCTGCTGCTGCTGCTGCTGGTACTGCTGCAGCTGATGCTGATTCCACGGCGAAAATCCAAACCCGGCCCGGTCTGAGCCTTCACCTTTCATATGAGCCTCACCACCCGCATACTTCCCAGCTGAAGGCCCTTCCGTGCGAACACTAGGGTCAAAGAAACGCTGAGTACTTGCGTGGTTGCCTTGCTGACTCGCGTCTTGCTGCCTCTCGCCCATTCCTTTTTGCCTCGCATCCGCACTCGTGTGATAGAGCGGTGGGGCAGCGGCGGACCCAGCCACAGGCCCCACCTGCTGCTGCTGCTGCTGCTGCTGCTGCTGCTGCAGCTCCTGCTGCTCCTTCTGCGGCATCTGCTGCTGCGCTTTGTGCAACTCCTGAAGGTTAAGCTGAGAGTCGTCCGTTCCCCCTCCCTCTCCTACTCCTTCTCCCCCTCCCTCAACCCCTCTTCCTCCCTCTCCCCCGACCTGCTTCATCTCCTCTTGCAACCTCTCCCCACCCACCCCTCCCACTTCGCCCCCTATCGCTTTCTGCTCACCACGAACCCCCTCGCCATCTTCCCACGTGTCACCTTTTGCCACGTAATCAACGGTTCCATTCTTCTCGTCCTTATCTACAATCTCTTGACGGCTCTCACCCTCACAACCAGCAGCTGCAGCCTCTTGAGTCGACTCAGAAGTTTCCTGGATGCTGCCACCGTCACGACCAGCAGGTTTAGCCCCAATTGCAGCTCCTTCTTCCTCTTGAGAACATTCTGGCGCGACTTTTCCTTTCTGTTCATGCTGCCCCTGCCCCTGCGCCTGGCTCTGCCCCTGCTCCTGCCCCTGTCCCTGCCCCTCACGTTCTCGGCCCTCCCCAAGCACCGCACCCTTTTCCTCAAGACTCAACTTCGCACCACTCACCGAGGCCCCACCCTGCTGCTCCAGCCCAGCACCAGTCAGCACCCCGCACCGCTCCTCTGCTCCCTTTCGCTCCTCCCCCTCTTTCCCCTCCTCCCCCCTCTTCCTCTCCTCCTCCTCAGCCTTCCTCCTTGCAATCCGCTCCTCCAACTCAACCAACTTCCTTCTCGCGTTCTCCTTCCTCCTCTCCTCCTCCTCCTGAATTTTCCGCTTCTCCTCCTGCACTCGCCTCCTCTCCTCCTCCACCCGTCTCACCGCCTCCTCCTCCTCCACCGCAACCCTCCTCGCCGCCTCCCTCTCCCCTTCCTCCACCCTACGCCTCCTCTCCTCCTCCTCTCTTCCCCTCCTCACCGCCTCCTCCCGCTGCTGCCTCGCCACCTCCGCCGCCCGCTGCTCCTCCTCCTCCTTCCTCACCTTCTCCTTATCCTTCTGCGACTGCAGCATCTCCAGCTCCGCTTCAAACCTCTCTCTTTCCACATCTCGAAACTCCGACCGCCCACCCTCGCCCTCCAGTTTCTTCCGCCTCAGCTGCCCCAACATACCAAGCCCAATGCTAGGCGGAGGCTCAACCCCTACACGTGGCAGGGACTGCAATTCCAGCCTCGGCCCATGGGCGAAAACTTCCGGGCCCATGCCCCTCCCTCCAACTTCTCTGTTCGGCCTGAAACCCTGACCGGGCCCAAAACCCTGACCAGGTCCAAACCCCTGACCGGGACCAAAACCCTGACCGGGGCCAAAACCCTGGCCTGGCCCAAAACCCCTGGCAAATTCCCCCCGCGGACCATATCCACCGCCACTACCCCCTCTTCCTCTCCCCCCATCCCCCATGGGCCCGTACCGCTCATACTCACCCGGGAAAGGCGGCCCTGGTGGCCCCCCTGCTGCTCCTGACCCCGGCGCCCCTAGCAGTCCCGGCGGCCCCGGCGGACCTAACGGCCCTGGCCGTCCCGCTTGTCCCGGGGGGCCTCGGGGATCTGGGGGACCCGGGGGACCTGGGAGGCCTGGGTGGGGCGGGGGGCCTGGCGGACCCGGCGGACCCGGGGGGCCTGGGGGTCCTGGGGGCCCTGGTCCCGGCCCTCTTCCGCCTCTCCCCGCGGGAGGCCGTTCCGCCCATCCGTGCGCGTCCTCCCTGCGCCACATGGCCGCCTCGCCGTGCCGCGGATCCCCGTGCCACTCCCTAGCGCCATTTCTCGGACCATAATCGCGGAAGCCCTCTCTAGAATCCCATCCGTTAGCATGAAACCCCCCCGGGTCTCCACCCATGGGGGGACCATAACCGTCGAAGTGACCCCTCGGACCGTCGAATCTGTGCGGAAAAGGCAGTCTTCCCCCAGGAGGCGGATAGGGTTGGGGTGGCGCAAGGTCACGCTCATCGTCCGCCCATGCTCTGCGCGGGGGGGAAGGTCGGCGGAAGCCTCCCCCGGGTGGCGGACCGAACCGATTCGGCGGAAGCATGCCATCGCCATGCCTGGTCGGTCTCTCGTTCTCCTTATAACGGGGATGTCTGTCCATCCTGTCCGTACCAAAAGTAGCGGAATCGCCAGAAGCATCGCCGCCTTGATCCCTGGAAATCAACTCCGGCGCCTTGTTAGGCTGTGATCCGGACAGAGGATCTCGTTCGTTCTGCTCGTGATCCGACTCTTCGTCACCCCATCGCCCACTGGTAACCCGTTTCGTCGCCGCATCGTTACCCTGGGACCGTTCCGTCGCTCGACCTGCCTCGTCCCCTCCGCCGCGCTCCTGCGCCGATCGCGCCAGCTCATCCCCGTTATTAGCCTCTAACGCCTTCGTCTTCTTCTTGCTCTGTTGCTCCTTACCGCGTCCGACGCTTGCTGTAACACCGCTTGGTGGCTTCTTCGTCGCATCATCCAGCGAGGGGAAATCTTCCCCGCGTAAAACAACGCTGGTGCTGCCAACTGCCGAGACAGCTGACGTGGAAGCTGACGTGGCACTGCTACCGCCACGTGAGCCTGGTGGTTGGTATACCCCAGGTCGGTGCGCCGAGGAGGCGCGATTCGGCTCGGCTACAGAAACCGCCGCTGCCGCTGCTGCTGAAATCGGCGGGAAATCGAAACCTTGAGGAGGAGGGGAGAGCGAGACGCACCGTCGCGCCTCGTGTGTCGCACCTGACGAACGAACTGCGGCTGATAATCCTGCTGCGGATGCTGCTGCTGCTGCTGCCGCTGCTGCTGTTGCTGCTGTCGCTGATGCTGATGAAGATCCTGATAGTGAAGGAGTAGCTGCAGACGTCCCTTCTCCGTTTGGCTTCCCTCCTGGGGGCCTCTGCCATCCTGAGACTGTGCTGCTTGCCGGAACAAGCGAAACGGACGGATCGTTGCCCGCGTGCTCCCGTCGCAGCGACGGCAGGTTAACCGGCTTCGGCACGACCAGCTTCCCGCTCTTGCTGGCCCCTAACGCGCTGGGAGTTGCGACCTTCCCCAGTACCATCATGCTCCCGAACGATCCTGTCCGTCCGAATCTGGATCCGACAGCTGTGCTTTGCCCGGCACCTGACTGGGACTGAGATGAGCTTTGCCTCCCGAAGGAGCTGTTGAGATTGACGCTCGTGAATTTGCTGCGACCCGACATGGCGAAATGTAACTGGAAGATACGATACTGAGAAGTGAGATCTGATCTGCTGAGGCACAATAAGTGTTTTTTTTGAAATCCTTTATGAGTTTCTGACTGAGCACGTGAGCTTCGCAAGGCTTGCAGGGGTGGACACCACGAAAAACAACAGGCCGCTTCTTTCTTAGAAACAAGTCTTTAACCGCAAGATATATGGATTCAACCGTAAACTTCAAGATCGTCTTTTATGAATTCGAATAATATTCACTGCTGATCGGCAAGAACTTCGGACATGGATCACGATCCTAAGTCACTTTCTTGCTAACCTTGTGCGCCGAAACTGATTACTGCTGTTTCTCATTCATATATGGGTTTTACTGATCATCTGTTGCTTCCAGTCTTCAGAATCTGGATCAGCCTAGTTTCGTCCATTAGCTGTTTCTGCAACAACCACCATGGCATGCCATTGTACGATGACTGCACAGAATTTCTCCCTTCTCTTCCCCATCCCTGCCCAGATATTTCCCCGCCAAAATCTAGGGCCACGAGAATCTCGGGTTGACGGGAAGGAGCAGAACTAAGATGGCGTTCCCACAGTATAAACAAGACGCGAGTCTGCCCACGCTGCTCGTAATTCGACGGGATGGTGTCTGTGGTGGGGCACTTCCCCACTTCGGACACCACGGTGTCTTATGCCCAGAATTCGCAATTTCGGCGACAATCTCGCCTCCAATTACAGAGCAAAAAAAAGTTTCGCCAACCGTAGCGAGGTCCAGAATTAATTTTCAGGTGTATTTTCTCAAGTAGTTCTGTTTGTTCGAGCGTGGAGTTGACTTTGGTTTCTGCACGGGGAGAGGGTTTCTTCTCGATTTTTAAAACGCTTTCGCCCCAAAAGTGATTCGTTACCCTGCCCGTCGAGTGCATTTCACACCGTGGTTTGCGGATGTAATCGTTAGACGTCCGATTGGGTAACCATGATGGATCTTACGACCCAGATTCTTTGCATAATGGTGTCCAGACCTGGAGTCGCGACCATTCAAAATTTACAACATGAAAATCACGAGCCGCGCGGGCAGACTCACACTTGTCCAAACCGTGGGAACGCCTCCTAACCTGCCCAAACAAACTTCGAGGTGCTACATGCTCGGGGACTTTTCCGAGTGGCTGCCCGAACAAACTTCGTTCGCACCTTTGCGGCTGGCCTGCCGTTTTCCCGCCAGCGACACCGACCTGACAGACGTGCTCAGGGCAGGTGGACAGGTCAGGTCTGCCACCGAATGTTCCTCGCAACCCGAAAACTCCTGCGCGTCCGCGCTACAGCCGGATGCATTTCTCTCTGCACTCTAAAACAGACCGCCTTACTTTGTGCTATAGTCCAAAGTAGACAGAGTTCACAGGCTCTATATATTATAGAGCATGGCATGTAGGATAGCAGCCCAAATCAAGAATCAGTCCCTACCTACTGCTACTTACCTAGACCTATGCAGATTAATATGCTTCTATCGAAACCAACCCTTCATGCTAGCCGTGTCTTGATTCCTAATCGGTTGACGCACACCCGGATTGGATCTTCGTCGTCCTCCAGAGGCAGGTGTTTTGGAAACATGAACTTTGCGGCCAGACGAAGCTTTGTGTGCTTGCCTAACTTAACCACCTGCTCGTCAAACTCCAATCCTACAGCACGGAAAGGGACAAGGCAGCATGAGAGAGGCCATGCCATTTGTGAACAAGGCAGCATGAGACGCCAAGAAATTGTCAAATAAGGCGGCTGTGAGATACGTTGAAATGATGTGAGATTCTTTGGGATGCTGCAAGATGTTTGTGAGGTTATGTGGGATGCTGCAAGAATTTGTGCGATGCTGTGAGACTTTGTGAGATGCTGCATCGTGCCTCAGAGCATACCGCCAGGGGAATGGAGAAAGCCTGTTCCGATGGGGTTGAAAAGGTTCACTGAGAGGCCCATTCAAGCTGAGATGTGCAGTGGGGCTGTGAGGTACTACAAGCTGCCTCAGAACATACTGCCAGGAGAGAGATGAAAGCCTGTGCCAATGGGGTTGAATAGGTTCACTGACAGCCCCACTCCAGCTGAGGCGCTGTGAGTTGCTGTGAGTTGCTGTGGGATGCTGTGAGGTGCTATGCGGTGCTGTGCGTTGCTGTGAGATTCTGCGAGGTACTGTGAGGTGCCTCAGAACATACCGCCAGGAGAGAGGTGAAAGCCTGTGCCAATGGGGTTGAAGAGGTTCACTGACAGCCCCACTCCCGCTGCCCGGTCCCAGAAGCGGTCAAAGGAACGCAAGGGCAGGCTGCAGAGACGAAGAAGGGGGGACAGACAGGCAGAGCACAGAAAGATGCCATACATCACACATGTTCAGATGTGCTATGGGGTTGGAGAAATACTGCTCTAGTGACAGCCGCACTTCAGCTGACTTTTGAGTCTGACTCAAAAATGTGGTATGGGGTTGGAGAAATGCTGCTCTAGTGACAGCCGCACTTCAGCTGCCAGCTCAGAAGAGGTCAAAGAAACAAGAGGCAGGCTGGAGTGGTGGGATGGGGAGAGAAATACTGTTCCTCTTGCTATGCCATGAATCACATCACATGTTCTGATGTGCTATTGAGTTGAAGTGGAACACTGGCAGCCGCACTCCAGCCGCCCGATCCTGCAGAAGCAGGTGAGGGAACGCAGGTGCAGGCTGCGGGGATGGGATGGGAGCACTCACTCTCGCTCGCTCACTCACTCACTCACTCACTCACTCACTCACTCACTCACTCACTCACTCACGTGTAGCGAACATCAAGAGCAACGTTGGTGGTGCCGAGCCTCCACTTCCACCGAACCTCAATGTCAGGCTCAGGAAGCAGGTGCAGGGCCACATGGGGGGTCCGGATCCTCAGCTTGGGCTCCAAGCGGCTTCCATTCACCTCGTAATTCGCCCCAACTGCACTTGCATGTGCACGCATACAAGGTGAGGGTATGGTGTGCAATGGTGTATGTAAGGAACAGGAGAACAGAATATAGAGCAACCATCCACCTCGTAATTCGCCCCAACTGCCCATTGCATATGCACGCATGTATGGTGTGTATGGTGTGGGCATGGTGTGCATATGATGTTTGTATGTATGGTGGTATGAGTATGGCGTAATGGGGAAAATGAGGAGGACAGGTTAAAGAGTAAACATGTTAAAACAGGAAACAATGTGGACAAGCAAGTATGAGGATACCATGTCGCCACCCTACCCCCCACTGGGGGGGGGGGCACATTGGTACTTCGTCAATATTAACATTAATATTGGCACATTTCCGACAAGATCACAATAGACAGACACCATCCCAAGGGAAACTCAGCCCACCCTAAATCCTGAGCCCGTATGGAAGCCTCGGCTTCTCAGTTTCCTTATCCGGAAAGTCCTAGATCTGCATCAGCACATGGTATTCAACCCTTCACATCAATACCCACCCCCCAGAAATGTATGTCTCATCATTGCGCCACAACAGAACATCTGGCCATCCCTTAGAGAACTCACCTCCAAAGTTGAGCCCATATGGCAGCCTTGGCTTGCCAGTCTCCTTATCCGGAAAATCCCAGATCTGCATCAGCTTCAGCCGTGCCCCCTCTCCATACAACCCATGATTAATCCCCTGAATCATCCCCCCCTCCTCCTCTTCATCCCGCCTCCTCCCCCCCTGCCTCCTCGCCCTCCACACAGGAGAGCTATCCCTCGCACCAAAGTAGCTACTGCTTATGCCACCGGGGCCCCTTCCATCGTCATCGTCCCGGTAGCGGCGGCGGCGGTGGGAGGTGGTGATGGGGCGGACCACGTCGACGCGCGCAACGGTGTGCGAGAATGACCAGATGTAGCCTGCAGCCTTGCGGAACACGTTGAGTAGTCTGTCCTGCACTGTCTCATACGCCACTACCCTGAGATGGCATGATTGGTAAAGTGAGGAGAGGTGGATGGGAAGAAGAGTGAGGAGAGGTGGACTCATTAGTCCCTGTGTGTGTCCTGGGAGGTGGTGATGGGGAGCGGTGGAGTGAGATGATGTAGACGCGCGCAACGGTGTGGGAGAAGGACCAGATGTAGCCTGCGGCTTTGCGGAACACGTTGAGTAGTCTGTCCTGCACTGTCTCATACGCCACTACCCTGAGGGGAGGGAAGGTTGGAGTTGGGACGGACGACGTTGACGCGAGCAATGGTGTGCGAGAATGACCAGATGTAGCCTTCGGCTTTGCGGAACACGTTCAGAAGGCGGTATTGTACCGTCTCATACGCGACTATACTGGGATGGGATGGGAGGAGGGGGGAAGAGAGGTGGAGAGAGGTGAGGTGGATATGGTATGTTGAAATGAGCGAAGGAAACCGACCTACCATCCATAATCGTCCATCAGGAGTCACGTGATAGTGCACATGTGGTTCCATCTGCATGTCATTGCCTCTTGAGGAGCCATGGTCCTCACATTGTCATGCCATGATCCTCATATACTCATGTCATGGTCATATGGCATGGTCCCACATGGTCATGCTATGATCCTCACATGGTCATGCCATGGTCCTCACATGGTCATGCCATGGTCCTCACATAGTCATGCCATGTTCATGCATACCATGGTCAGTCATGCCATGGTCATGCATGCCCACCGCCCATCAGGTGTCACGTGATGGTGCACATGTGGTCCCATCGGCGCACCATCGCCCCCAATATCCCCTCCCACCACTCCCCCTCCCACCACTCCTCCAGTGTCTCCAGCTGCCATCCCGCTGCTGCTGATGCCGCCACTGCTGCCATTGCCATTTGCTCCTAGTCCCCCCAATCCTCCTGATCCGCCAGAGTTTCCTGACCCAAACACACCCAAGAAGACTCCTTGAGAGTTGGCTGAGGGGGGACTGCTGGGAAAAGAGAGAGCAGGAGAGGGAATGGAGGCAGCAGCAAAATAGAACCGGACGACTTGAAATTTCTGACCGTTGCAGCTGCCAAGTGTTCCTAGGTGACTTTTGAGACGACTCATATGCTGCCAATTGATCCTGATCCAATTGTCTTAGAAACACCTGAGACAAGTTTTGAGTCGACTTAAAACTCGTCTTCTTTCCGACCGTTTCTGCTGCCAGTTGATCCTGATCCACTTGGCCTGATCCTGCTGCCAAACCGGGCATTCATCAGTCTAACAGGCTTTTTTTCGCGCCAACAGAATTTCTAAAGAAATTTCCGACCATTGCTGCTGCCAACTGATCCTGATCCACTTGTCCTGATCCTTGCCAACCCGGGCACTCATCAGTCTAACAGACTTTTCCTCGCGTCTGGAAACGAGAGCAAGAGAGGGATAGGGGCCAACGGTGGGAGCCAAGAGTGCAGCCATGCAGGAACTGCGCGGTGTGGCCATGCAACCGGAAGAATCTGTTTTTTAGTCGACTCAACCGAAATAATAACAATATAGAGTGAATACGAGGTAACTTAAAAAGGACCGCGGTGATTAGAAAGTATTGCGGTGACTAAACGGAAACAATGCTAAAGCATGAAGCGCTTGAGACTAGTAGTCTACGATGCTGACGTCAAGAGTTGGTCTATTAGCGGTAGTACCTTTTAGGGGAAGGTGACCAAGAGCCCGGAGACTTCGGAGATTCCGCCATTGGCTCGTGAATCAACGGATGTCAGACTGCGTGTGTTTTGTGAATCATGAACGGATTTCTGACGGAGAGAGGAACGACGCTGACGTCAGGAGCTGGTCAGTCTCTTGCCGTGTCAGTGTAAACCGTGGAAACTCGCGGATTCGAGATGTCGCGAGATTTCGCAGATGCAAAAGATATGAGCATCGACAACTTCCGCTCTAGTCTACCGAGTCGAGGCTTACAACGCGCGTTATAACGCGGATGCGAATAGAAGAATGACAAGCTGCTGCCTATTTCTAGGAGCTAATTGGTACTGGAACTGCAGTAATATGTGTCAATGAACTGCCACTGCATTGCGTCACTGGGAAATCCTGGATATGACCAAACATCATAACAATTTCCGAATGTCCTCGTTCCGGATTATCTGCGATACGAGGTACTTGCGCACGCGAAGCGTTCTTTTACCTTTTCCTTAACATGTCATTTGATGCTGTATATGTTTCATCCTACATTCCAACAAATTTCGGTGGTAAATAATCTAGAACGATTTAGGGGTTCCTGGATGACTAATTGCCTCCCCAAATTGATTGGGGAGAGGAGACCTAACATACTTAGAAGAAGCACGACAAAATTGTTAACACGAGCCAGTGATGCTCTGAAGTTCCATTTAGGCATGCGCCCCATACTGCAAACAGGAAGAACAGGAGGGAGACAGTGAGAGGGAAGGCGTGTTTACAGTTCAACCCCAAATGCTGAAAGAGCAAAAACGTGACCCCACCACCACGGTACTGCAAAACAGAAATTTTGCGTAATGGACTTTTACCTTGGCGCTCTTGTAAAGCTCATCAATGACTTCGGAGAGAGTTGGGTGGGCATGGACGGCGAACTTGATGTCCTGCACATTTTGAATGGGCATGTGATGGCATTGGATGGCATGGGATGGAGCACGTGGTATACAGAATGACATGGATGGAATGGGGTTCAGTAAAAAGCGCTGGCCTGGATGGAGTGGGGTGAGTAAAACTAAGGTGAGAAAGCAAGTACACTTCAAAATAGAAAAATCTGGAATAACTGAATTGCCACTTGAGTATTTCTCACTTTTGAGTTTTTCTCACTTGGAGTTTTTCTCTGTGCGTACATTGAGGGTTTGGCCGGTGGCCATGGCGTTGGAGACCTCGTGAATGAGGTCAGCTGCATGCAGGCCAAGAATGTGCACGCCCAGGATCTCCCCCGTGTCCGGACGGTAGATCATCTGACGAGGGTAAAAGGTACATGAGAGGGCGAGGAAAAACAGAATGGAAAGAGGTTAGCTGTGTGTAGCCGCAGGATGTGCAGTCCCACAATCTCCCCTCCCTGTGTCCGGATGGGTAAATCATCTGAGAGGGATAGGGGCAGCATGACACATGCAACATGCAAATCCAAGCTACAATTGCTATGCATCCACACTCCCAAACTCTCACCCTAGCCTTGCCCTCTGCTTCAATCTCACCCCAGCCATGCCATCTGCCCCATTCTATGCCAGGGCCTTAACGTGGATCTGGCCTTGGAGTGGACCTAGAAGATCTTTGCATCATTCAACATGCTTCTCCCCTTGCTCCCATTCAACCTCTCTACAAGATGCCCCACCTTAGCCATCAACGCTGCCCCTTGCCCTTACTGAACCGCTTTATGGTGTACCATTCCTCACCTTAGCCATGCCGTCGGCCTCGTTCTCTGCCAGCGCCTTGGAGTTGGCCTTGAAGCTCGTCTTGGCCACACTCACTTCGAAGCCCTCTATTTCTGCCCTCTCTCGTGCCTGTGGCTGGTGGCGTGAAAGGGGGGGAAAAAGGGTGCACAGAGGAAGCAGAAGACCAAAAAGGATTGGGGTCGGTGACTCAGGGTGAGTGAAGCAGGCGGCGGGCATTGAGACATTTAAAACAAAACTTCCTTTTCTGCCCTGCCTCTCACTACCCCTGTGAGCCTGACCATGCTGATCTCGGTGTGACGAAAGCAGGCATCAGGGCTTGACACGTCTCAATACCCAGACCTTCTTCCCCTTTCTTTCCCCCTCCGCCCCTGTCTCTGACTCACCTCTGTGAGGCCAACCATGCTGATCTCGGGGTGCGTGAAGCAGGCAGCAGGAACAGAGAGGTGGTTGAGCACGTTGCTATGGCCCTTGATGTTCTCCACCACCGATATGCCCTGCGCACTCGCCGCATGCGCCAGCATCAGCTTGCCGTTGGCATCGCCGATGCAGTACAGGCGGGGAATCTGGGGAGGTGAATGGGAGAATGGGAGAGAGGGGAGGTGTGGGGAGAAGGGGGTGGTGAGTGGGACGAGATGGAAAACCCAGCTGGTTGTGTGTGCACTCATTGTATGCGCCAGCATCAGCTTCTCCCATTAGTGTCGCTGATGCAATACAGGTGGGGAATCTGGAATGGGGGGAGGTGATGGAAAATAACTCGTTATACTCATCATGGAGGGGTGAAAGAGGGAAGGGTACGAAGAAGGTTCGTTCCTGGGTACAAAGAACGTCATGAACATCGTAGGTCAGGGGAGAATGAAAAGGGGGTCTGCACACTTGATGGGATGGGGTGAGATTGGGTGGGATAGAATGGAATGGGTGGGATGGGAGATAGGGTCGGGTGCTTACCACATTGCCTTCAGAGTCGAGCACTTGCATGGTTTCATTGACAGGCACGAACCCACGGTTTGTTGTCACATTCACCTGCTCACACGTGCATGCAAGGAGCAGTGTGGATTGGGGGGCAGTCAGGAGGGGGGAGGGAGGTGTAGGGAGGAGCAGGGAGTTCAAATTAGTGGTGAGCAGAGCAGGGAAATGCGATTTAGGGCGAGGTCTGCAAGTAAAGAACAGCAGACGGACCGAACAGCCTTGGCAGCAGGGTAAGGGGTGTGATGTGAAAAGCACTCGGGATTCAAATGTTGGAATATGCACGTGCGGTTTCACATCTAAGCCCTGCACGCATACATTCAACACCCTACATGGAATACTTTTTCTCACTTGCAAGCCATGCGCTAACATTGCAATGCCAAGACACGCACTCACATTCTCAAGACCAAGCCCCTTGGTGAATGGAGCTCGGCCAGTGGCAATCAGAGCCGCATCAACCTGAGAGAGGGCGGGAGAGAGACAGGAAGAGGATGAAGGACGGAAAGGGGGGCGGAGGGGGGATGAACGAATTAGATCAAGGAAGGTGAGGGTGACGCATTGTGAGCGGTGTTAAACGGTACTCAGGGGGAATCAGGCAGGGGAGATTGGGCAAAGGCAAGGCGGGCGAACAGCAAGGTGGGCGAACAGCAAGGTGGGCGAACAGCAAGGTGTGAGAAAGTTAAGCTCAGAGTCACAGACAATTCCTCCTCCATCAGCCTTCACTCGTGCTGCCACACCTTGGACTCTTCCCTTCCCCCTGGGTTCGTTCCCTTCCATGCCTTTCTCTCCACAGGACCCACATTCTGAGTCCTGGTGTACCCCTGTTTCAGTCTCGCCTCCCCACTTCCAGTCTACTTCTTCCTTTCGGTCTTCAGAACGCCCATGCCACCTCGTTTACCTCGTCTATTCCTCGTACCCTAATCTCATCTCCATTCCCCTCCACCCCTCTCAACCCCTCTCCACTCCTCTCTGCCCCAAGCTCACCTCGAGCGTCTCCTTGTACTCCCGCGTCTTGGTGTCCACCAGCTCGATTTGCACTGGCTTGCCATCCCGAGCAGGGGTGATCTGAGAGAAGAGGGGGACGGTAACAAAGCAGTGAGGGAACGAGCAAGAGAAACAAAGAGAGAGTGAGTACACACAACAATCACGCCCGTCTCATAGCATGATTGAGCCCCCCGCTGCCACTCCCAACCCACAAGCTGTTTTGTCTAGCGATCCGCTCACCTTGGCTCCTCCACCCCCCCTCACCACGGTGCGTTCTTGGCGAGCACGCCTGTGTGGTAGTCAAGACAATGCTGCGCGAAATAAAGAGCACCCTCTGCGCCAGCGTCATTAAGCCCCTCACCACTTGCTTGCAACCCACTCACCTTGTCTCCGCCACCCCTGTCCCTACTCACCTACTTGGCTCACATCCCCCTCTTCTTTCACTCCCTCTCGCCACGCACCTTCTTTGCGAGAACGCCCGTGTGGTAGTCGATGCTGCGAGGGGTGGTGAGCACCCTTTGCGCCTGCTTGATTGAGCCCCTCACCCCTCGCAACCCACCCACCCATCTAGGCTCCGCCACCCCTGTCGCTACCCACCTTCTTGGCTCACATCCACCTCCCCCCCTTTTTCCTCTCGCCACGCACCTTCTTGGCGAGCACGCCCGTGTGGTAGTCAATGCTGCGGCGGGTGATGAGCACCCTCTTCGCCAGCTTCATTGAGCCCCTCACCACCCGCAATGCTAAGCACCCTCACCACCCCTCTCACCA